TCTCTCTCTCTCTCCACCCCACTCCCTCCTCACAGAGACCTCTCAGATCCTGCACCAAAAGAATGAAGTCTTGATCGAACAATGCTGTCCCTTGTAGTCTTCGTCTTCTTTTTCAATGTGGCTATGGCCGCAGTCATCAGGTAAGCCGCCTCCACCCCAGCCCTCTTCTTCTCCCCAGGGTATGTCTCCAGTCCTTCATATCCCAACTGCCTCCTATCCCTACTACCAGGCATCATGCCCCCTCCCCTACTATGCCCCACTATGGTTGCCTGCCCACACCTTTCTCTGGTGACAACAGGGCAGCACGCCACACTACTCCAATGTCAAACTGAGCACAATGCAGAATGTGTTGTGACTGAACTGACAGTGGAGAATGGTTTTGATTGGGCCACCGAGCCGCAATGCCTATAGTGAATGGTTTTGATTGGGCCACCAAGCCGCAATGTGTTGTAAACGAATACAAAGCATAGGTTGCTTTCTATCCGAATATGACACTCATGCATCTTTTCGAATTGTTTGGGGAAAAACGGCAGTCCTGGAGTCATCCAGGAAACTTTTTGTGGACTGTCCGTTGTACATGCGATCTGTGGCCAAAATTGACGTCTGAAGGCACGAACTCAAGATCAAAAGTTTTCGGACGGAATATCATTTTTCATCAAACGAGATGCCAAAATGTTCAGTCAAATTATTCTGCCTGAATGTGACATTCATCGACTCTGGGCCGGCCTGGGCCCTACTGTTGACATCCCATGCTTGGGGTACCCAAATCAAGGCCTGGATGTTCCCAAGCCTACCAGTTCTCGGTCCACTACACTTTTTCAGACCCTTCCCTAGGCCTCTATGAACTTATTAGACCAACCCTACACCCGGAGACCTAGAGTAGTGAGACCAATTTTGGGCCTGTGGAATGCAGGCATTCTGACCCTGTTTTCGTGCAATAAGTGGGTGCTGCTGCAGCCAGTAGGCCCAGGGGGGGTCATCCAGCAAACTTCGCATGGACCATCCGATGTACATGTGATCTGTTGCCCAAAATTGACTTCTGGAGTGTTGACTTTCCCAGGCTTGGGTACCCAGATCAAGGCCTGGATGGTCCAGAGCCGCCCAGTTTCTTAGTCCAGTGAAAATTTTCAGACCCTTCCATAGGCCTCTATGAACTTAAGCTGACCCTAAACCCTAGACGCCTCGAGACTAATTTGGGCCCTGTTGAATGCAGGTTCTCTACCAATGTGTCTCCCAAGTAGGTCTTCACCATTTCGAGGGCTCGCTTAGGTGAACCCTCAGGTTATCAACAGTCTGTAGAGTTGTTCCCTGAGTTTTGCACACACTGCTGAACACTGGGTTATGAAATCTACACGCAACGCAAACTGCTCAAATTTCCCACTTAGAAAGTACTATTAGTGAAGCCAGGCACCACCAGTTCACCATGGCCCGAATGAATGAGAAGTGGCTTGCTGATCTTGCCACCTATCGTCAGTTCTTTGTAAGTATTTGAAAGTTTGCATCTCCGAGCATGCTGCAAGGCAGCTTGCTTCAGCAGAAGCTGGCGCAGTGGTATTATAATAGCACAAAAATCTCAAGAATTGTGGCACTTTTGAAAAACTACCACTCGTTCGGGATGTGTACAGCCTGAGACACCACTGCAGGTCATGCTACAGAGAAACACATGACCTTAGTGTTCCAAACTACAGAACTAGGATTACACCATACTTGTGCGTGACAGGTTGGTAGACCTATGCCAAGAAATGATCTATCCATATCTCACACCAAGTGGTGCCAAGCAGCACTTGCGGCCTTGACACAAAAAGGCAATCCAATTCATCACAATCCCTATGGTCAACTCCATGGAAAATGCATACGTTGTCACATATGTATCAAGTTACTATCAACTAAACGAGCACACCTTGTGAAACGACTGAAGGAAATAGCAGACAAGACGAAGCACACCAAATCCATTCTTTTGCCTTTTGCTGTGCAGTTCTTTTTGCTTTTCTTTCCTTACTTTGTTTTTTTTCATCGTTTCTCTTTCATTTCTCCTTTTAGCTCCCCCTTTATGTGGAGTAGAAGCATTAGATGGTGGTGAATCAAGGGGAATGAGGGAATGATAAACCAGAGGCGCTGATGCGAAAGAGTACTAAAAACATATGAGCCTGGCAGAGAGGCTGTTGGATAGAGAATAAGCAAGGGGCAAGAGGATACCACATCCGAACCAACGAAGGAGACCGCCTTGATGTCAGGATGATCACAAATCATGTCGACAACATCCTGCACACGAAGCAACGTTCATTGTCAACCACTTGAGTCGCGCCAACTTCCTTTTTTTATTCCAATTCAGAATAATTTTATTCTGTTCATCTGATTGTATCTGGATTCGAACGTGAGTCTGTATTTCAGCAGTTCATGGTTGTGTCAACTGAGCTAGGCCCATTGGTACGAATAACGCTAACTTCCTTACAGTCATAATTTTCAACTTTTTAGTACCATACATGCAAGCGCACTTTGTCCGCTGATTCACGGACTGTTGGCGCTCAAGCGGACCCCGACCGCGCAGCGCACGGCCTGGGCAGCGCAGGAGAACCCAGCCCAAAACCAAGAAAAAAGAAAAAAAAGCGGGTGTCGATTCGTCCCTGTGCCGCTCCCCCCAACAAAAATGGTGTTGGGGCCCCCCCAATGGTGTCGATTCGTCCCTATGTCAATTCGTTTTTGGTTGTAGGTCGAAACTGGAAGGGCTGGGGGGCCGTTTCTTGGTCCTCTCGGTCGAAACAGGAAGGGCTTCGGGGGGCCGTTTTTTTGTCGTTGGTGCAGGCCGCCGCCAGTCCGGTTCACGGAAGCCGTGTCGTCAGTCGCCCTCTACGAGCAGCGCAGACCTCCCCCTGCATTCACACCATCGCAGCGCTGGAGCGACCATCGTCAACTTCGGGTCTTCACCCGCTCTCCTGCCCTCCCTCGAACTCACCTCCTCCTCCTCCTCCAGATCTTTCTCTTCCTCCAGATCTTCCTCCTCCTCCTCTCCTCCTCTCCTCCTCTCCTCCTCTCCTCCTTCTCCTCTTTCATGTCTCCATCTCGTCATGGTGTCGTCCTTTCTTTCTTTTCCCATAGTATGGAAAGTTGGAAACTCGCCTTCTTCTCGTCGCGTCCTCCTCGTCACTTCCTCCTCCACATTACCTCCTCCTCCATCACTTATCATCCTCGCCTCCTCCTGCATCTCTTCTTCTCCTCTCTCGTCACTTCCTCCTCCACGTCACCTTCCTCCTCCTCTCCTCCTCCTCTCCGCCTCCTCTCCTCCTCCTCTCCTCCTCCTCGTCCTTCCGCTCCATCCCTCCTCGTCAAGGTCTCGTCACCTTTTCTTATGTTAACTTCGAGTAGCGTTGGTATCTCCTCCTCTTCCCTTCCTTCTGCATCTTTCCTCCACTACATCTGGTCGTCCTCCTGCTCCATCCCTACTCCATCTCTCCATCTCCCCTCCACCGCTCCATCTCTCCTCCACCGATCCATCTCTCCTCCCCCACCTCTCATCCTCCTTGTCACGGCTTCATCACTCCTTTATTTTTTTTTCACGAGACCTCCGAAGTTCGAACTGTCATGGTATCTCCTCCTTAGGTCGTCGTCCTCCAACTATCCTCCTCCTTCCATCTCTCCTCCTCCTCTCGTCGTCCATCTTTCTTCCTCCATCTCTACATCTCTCCTCCTCCACCTCTTATCCTTCTTATCATGACGTCGTCACTTTTCTTTTTCATGGGAACTTTGAAGTTCGAGCTGGCATGGTTTCTCCTACTCCTTATGTCGTTGTCCTCCTCCTCTCCTCCTCCTCGTCATCATCCATCTCTTCTCCTCCTCCTTCATCTCTCCTCCATCCCTCCTCGTCAATCTTTCCTCCTCCATCTCTCCACCTCTCGCCCTCCACCTCTTATCCTTCTTTTTTGTTTTGTTTTTTTAACAGTACCTTATGGTTCTGGCTCCTTTTCCATTATGGGGACCATCAATCCGGTTCCTATTCCACCACCAGGTCAGAAAGGGTTACAATATGTGTTCACACAGAGTTCAGTGTTCACTCATGCTCCTCCCCCTCATGGTCTGGAGGCCTGAAGGACGGCATTGATTACTTCGCGACGGAAGGATGTACCATTCTTCACCCCTGCCTAAGTTAGCCTGTACTACTGAGATTCTTCCCTTACTCAGTATATAGTGATAAAACCCTAAGTCCTAGCCTGTGGTCCGTCCCTGACGGTCTTATGAAGGGGAAGACCGACGGATAGAATTAATTGCTTCACTTGGGAGGGATGTGCCCTCCCTCGTCCCAATCTATGTTATGTTCTAAGTGCTAGTCTTATACTAGTGTTCTGTGGGAAAGATGTTGCCACTACTAATATGCACTACTCTGTAGGTCTAGCTTGGATCCTAAGCTAAGGCTTCTGAGTTGTCCTAGTTAGCCCCCTTCCCACTGTATCTCCTTTTGTTGTTTGGTGGTTGTTCGGGTTTGTGTTGAGTGTAGGTAGGGTGTGAAAAGGAGATAGTAGGAATTTTGTGGGAGATTGAAGCAATGGGTTTCACGGTGGGGTGCGGGGGGTGTGAGGTTCAGGTTGAATGTGGGGTGACGGATATGGTGTGCTTTCCAGGTTGAGAAAAGATACTGTGCGGTTGGAGGGGGGAGATTCAGGAGCTAGTGGAGAGGGGAGAGGGGGGGGTTGGTTTTGGGGACCAGAAGGGGAGGTTGTTTTTTTTTTTTCTGGGGAAGAGGGGTTAAGAGAGAGGAGTGGGGGCTGTGGGTGGAGAGTCACTGGGTTAGACGGTGTGATGTGTAGTGTGGGCATTAGAATCAATGGGCGGGTTTGCCTGTGGTGGGAAATGGAGTGTTGGTTGGGGGAGATGAAATTGTGTTCTGCGCGGGTGGTAGTGTTAGCCAGTTTTTGAGGACTAAGTATTCGTTTTTTATTTCTCCTAAAAGGCCTGATCCTAGTTTTGAAGTTGAGAATTTATGCGGGTGGTAGTGTTAGCCAGTTTTTGAGGACTAAGTATTCGTTTTTTATTTCTCCTAAAAGGCCTGATCCTAGTTTTGAAGTTGAGAATTTATGGACTAATTCTGTTTTTTTTTGTCGGGGGCATTGTTTATTTGTTTTTGGGTTTTGGTCCAGAGAACATGTAGTTCCGTGTTTCTATTGTATGTTTTATTGTGTTGAGTGGGTTCTAAGGTGTGATAGGGAAATCGCCAAAAGTTAGTTCACACCTTCTTTTCCATAGGCCCCAGATGATTCCTTTCCTGATAAGTATGAAGAAGAAAGCCTCGAAGCTTTTGAGGGGCGGGTTCTGATCTACTTCGAGGAATATTGTGGAGGGACTTATCATGACGGACTTGTCAGAAAAGGATTTCCATAGGAGTTCCATCTCTTGCCATATGATTCTAGCTTTTGGGCAATCGATGAAGCAGTGGTTAAGTGTTTCCAGTCTCTGTTGGTTGCAGACTTTGCACCAAGAATCTTGATCTGTTCGGTTTTCCTTATTGCGTCTTTGTTCCAACCAGTGGTTGACTGGCAGTGCCCTGTATGCTATTAACCAAAGTAGGCTGGCTAGTCTGATAGGTCTGGTGCAGAAGATTGATGTCCATAGTAGGGTTATTTGTGAGTCTGTTATAGTGGGTTCTTTTATTTATCTTTTTTGCGGGATATTGGTTATTGAGATGGGTTTAGAAAGAAGATTGTAGCCTAGTCTTGGGGTGTAGTCAGTTATTTTGTGAAGCCGTGGTATAGTGGCTCGACGGATGGGGGTGCTCAAGGTCCATTCTGTCAGGTCTATTTCTAGTTCTAGTAGACAATAACTATGGGAAACTGGCTGGGAACCTTAAGCACTCAGCTTAACTCCAGGGTCTGCTTGAGGGTCCTTGCCTATCCCCCTACTAGTGGAACATTAACTCGAGCGTGGCTCCCCATAGTAGAGTGGACCAGTAGTCATAAGGTTGCATTTTTCTTGAGAACATTAGAAAGCAAGAGAACCTTCTGTGTATTGTGCTATAGACTTATGCACTACAGCACCTGCCTTGCGGCCGACTGAAATACACCTGGAATGGTTGATCCTCCGATGAAGACCACATCCAGATGATTTCCATGAGTTGGGAGCTGCCCCCTTTTTTTTGGCGAAAGAAAATTTGAACGTTATGCATATCGTATTATCGTCATGTTGGCGGTGACTTTGTGAGAAAGAACTGCAAGTCTGTGATACCGTCCATCAAACATGCTGGATGGTGGTCACGCAGTGGCCTTACAGAATTGATGAATCAGAACTCCGGCAGTCACTCAACATGTCAGCCAGATAATGGGCACACGGCTGTGGATTGCACTGTTCTAGATATTTCATCTGAAATCCCCGTGAAGCACCGTACATTCCATAATTTAGACGCATCTCATGCATGCAGGTCCTCAAACAGAAGGGGCATTCTGCCAAGATGAGACATTGGCATTGACACAGGATGCAGAAGCATGTGCACAAGTTACTGAGATCAATCTCATGTTTGCTGGTTGTCGCACACTACTTCAGAGCGGTCATTTCTTGGGGGGCATTTTGGCAAGTTGAGGCATCGGCATCGGCATTGGTATGGACACAGAAGATGTAGAAGCATCAGCACAAGTCTCACATGTGAAAGCACGAGAACAACTGGCCCTGGAAGAGAAAGCAGAAGGATTGATACCTACAAATCTCTCCCCACCCTCATTCAACGAAAGTGCAAAAATCACCGAGTCGCAGCCTTCCTACAATCTGGGATGTGCAAACCCGATTTGCCCAAGAGGTATTATGCACATTGTCTGGAGAGTCTTCTCATGGCTTCACTTTTCCTTCATCCTCTCATCTCTCCCTAATCCAGTCTGGAATGTAGTTTGCCTGAGAGTAAAGGTCTATTTTGCATGTGTTGAGTCTCTTCTGGGGGGTTTCACTTCCATTCTGGAGAGCGTCAGTCCGGTTCCTTTTCCACCGGCAAGTCCTGATTCCACAAAACAACTCGCACTTCCTACCGTCTGGCCAAAGAACCCCTGATCAGCATTGATTGCTCCGTAACAGTTTCTGTTCTCCTTTCATCTTGTTTTCTTCCCTTATCATCAGCTCCCTCCTGATGGCTTCAGTTTCCTTTCTCCTTTTCTGGTTTTCTATCGTTGACTCACATCCATTGGCAGAAGAAAGAGTGAAGCTCAGAGCCAGCACAATGTGAAGTAGTTGACAAGCTATCATTCAGATGTATCGTTTTTCTATTTTCTTTTTTTCACCCAACAAGTCTCTTAAACCTGCCTGCATGCAGTCATCTATGGGAGAAGATCGTTGATACACATCTTAGGGGTCCTGTAGCTATTCCCTAGAGCCCAAGAGAGAGAGATGGAATCCCACGGTCACCGGCGGGAGTTTGGGGCTGGAGTTGGAGGACTAGAATGTGCTGAGCATTCAAATGTATCTTATTGTAATGACCTGCAAAATCACTGACTGAGAACTGTGCTGATTTCTGAGTTTTTCTGCTGGATTGTGTGTCTGCTGAAATTCCTGTTGTTTGCTGAGATTTCCAAGTCTGTGCGTGAGCGTGTTTGCTGGTTTCCATGTGTTTGTCGGGATACCTGAGTGCTTGAGTGTGTGTGTGCCCGCCAGGGCACTTGTGTGTTTGAGAGGGGCCCGCAGGGCCGGTACTAACCTGTGGCCATGACTTTGAGGGTTGCAGAGGGGTAAAACACTAAAGTAGCGGATAGTAGGCCAGCGGCGCTTAGGGCAGCAGGGAAAAACACTCAAGTAGCGGGTAGGCTAGGCCGGTAGCACTCGAGTACCGGTAGGCCTAGCAGAAGAAGACAAAAAGTTAGTACTTTTAGAGGGTCAATAGTGGTAGGCCTAGAAGAAGAAGACAAGAAGTTAGTACTTTTAGAGGGTCAATAGCGGTAGGCCTACCAGAAGAAGACAAAAACTCGGTAGGCCTAGGTCTAGGCGGGTACCAGTCCAAGTAGCCTGAGTCTAGGGCCTGGGCGGATGATATCAGAGCCTGCAATGATGTTTCCCTCCGAAAGGGAGGTAAGGGTTGCTTGGAGGCCACGCGGTCTGGAAGTCACCACCCAAGAGGGTGGTTGGCCGCTATATCTTCAGGCAGAGCCCGTTCTGCATCATTTGCGGTGTGCATGTTTGGACGTCATGCTGCTTGAGCGTGCTCTGGTCTGGAGGAGCGCCTGGGCGAGGTGAGGAGGAGAGCTGGAGCTCCGCCTGGCTATGGTGGACGCCCCAGCTTGAGGAGGAGGAAGAAAAGGGCATAGGAGGAGAGTGGCAAGGTACTTACCTGGCTATGGAGGTCGGCATCTTCATCTTCTTGGTTGGCGCTGCTGCTGGAACGCCCTAGTTAGGGTGCACTGCTACAAGAAGGCTTCAGGACAGAGTCAGGCATGGCGGCCTGAGGAGCAGCGGACATAGCTGCTTTTGCGTTGTCTTTTGAACATTGGGGCAGGGCCCCAAGTAGTCCGCCATAGCCACTGCCTGGTAAAAGTGGAGGAGGGTGGAGGCCATGGCTATGTGGACCTCATATGGTGCGGACAGTAAGAGGGAACTTCGGATATTAGATCTGGCTCAACCATTCATTGTTCTTATTATTATTTGGTGAAGAATAAGATGGGGGAAAAAAAAAAAAAAAAAAAAAAAAAAAAAAGGCTGGGGCGGGACCGTTGCTTTCCTTTTCCCCTTCCTTGGATGGATGTAAAAAACTTGCCTGCCGGTGATAAGTAACTGGACTGATGCCCCCCGGAATAGAAGGGGCTGTGTTTCTTTTGGAAAAAAAAAGAAAGAAGAAAGATCAGGAGGAGTTGACAAGGAGGTTCCTCTTTCTTTCTTCTTCTTCTTCTTCTTCTACCTTTGTTTGAAAAAATGATTGGGGAAGATAAGGAGGAGGAGGTTGAGTGACGTGAGAAGGGGGATTTGTCATTGGTCTTGGCTGGTGTTCTTCTTCCTCTTCTACCTTGGTCTCTCTCCTCTCAAGTTCATTCATTTCTTTTTGCAATTGAATGGCATTGTATTTCCTTGTATATTTGCACTTCGGAATTGGCCAGGATCGTAACATTATCATGACGCACATGTAATTTCTTCACAGCATCCAGCACATATACCGATGTACCATTGTACCAACTGACCTTCGTCCCATGGACAATATTTAGCACACCAGGAGGCAGCCCTGCCTCCATTGCCAAATCTCCTAGCATCATTGCTGCACCTGTATTGCACAAGTCGGAAAAAAAACAATCAACCCCCCTTATTGATGTTACAATTGAAGTACTGGAGAGAATATTCATCAAACCCCATGCACATATAGCACGGCATTATGCATTGGCTGCAATGAGCCCACTCTCGAGAAGTTCACAACTTCTGCATCACGCATGAGCTCAACTCACACAATTTTTGTATCCAACAGAAAGCAGCATGTAGAAGATACACAAAAGTAGAGAAGAAAAGGACAAGCGAGGGGATATTGCTAGCGCAAACTACCCAAGATGCTTGTTCTAGTTCACTGTTGTTTTGCGAGATGAACCTGGTTATGGTAAAATCAAAGCATCTTTCGGAATTGCTCAACCCCCAGTTATGGCACGCGATTGTACGCTGAGGTGCCTCTTACCAGGTGGTGGATATGCTCACCTAGGATTGAATTGAAAGGGGCAGATTCCCCAATTTACCCAATTAATTGGGGACAGGAGGCGAAACAACATCTCGTAACAACACAGCCTTTAGGTAATACCAGTGAAGTCCACAAAAATTAATTGAATGAATGGTGGATCCAGAGGATAGCACGGCTCGTCCACCCTCCTTCAACCTCCAGGCTTCTTCCTCTCTCGGCTTGCCACCTCAGGATAATCTATCCCTCTAAAGATGATGCAGTCGACATTCCTTCCAGCAGCAGCCACTCACCAATACACCAATCAGTCAGCCCTCCGACACAAAGCCAACTGGTCCTCTGGGGGTTGGTGCTCAAAGCATCACCACCGGACTCCTGGAGCAAGGCGCTGTCTCTCCAGCAACAATCATCACCAGGTAAGTCAAGTAAACATCCCTTCCTCTCATCTCTCAGTACAGGTTCTCTCTCTCTCTCTCTCTCTCTCTCTCTCTCTCTCTCTCTCTCTCTCTCTCTCTCTCTCTCTCTCTGTGTCTCTGTGCCTAGCGGCTTGTTGTTGAATAGGATTCTCACTCACTTCCTGGAGCCCCTATTGGCTTCTATCTATGTATGTAAGAAGTCCCAATTGACTTGGTCGTAGGCTTTTTCAAAATGAAAAAAGAGGATCCCAGCTTGTATCCATCGCTCTACTATCTTCTGAGCCGCTTCGTTGAGAGACATGACAGTGTCCAAGATTTAACGGCCTGGGATGAATCCAGCTTGATCAATCACACACCAGTCTGCCGCGAAAGCGGCACACTTGCACATATACATATTCCAAACCATAAGGGAATGGAGGGCAGAAGACAACTTACCTAAGACAGAAGACTACTCCAGCACGAAGGCACTGACCCGGCCTCCGCATTGGCCCACAAAACCAAAAAATCATTTACCAAAAACAAACAAATATAACAGCATTGGCATTCCCCACATTCATCTCAAACTTCACACTTGCGCCGCTGCCAAAGAGGAGGAAGAAGATAAGAGACAACTTACCTAAGACAGAAGACTCCTCCAGCAAGAACGCACTGACCCCCCTTGCTAAGGGTCCGAAAAACTGGGAAAACCTTCCACGCCGGCCCACAACACATACATTCCCCCCAAAGAGAACTCATGGCCACCCGTAAACATCGAAACAGCCCATGCTCAAAAGCAGGGTTTCATTATGGCATTGGCGCCGTACTCCAACAGAATGATGGACAGGGGTATAGGCCCGTCGAATTCATGTCTTGCAGACTACCTAGTCAGAAAGTCGCCGCCTCGACGTATGAGAGAGAGTTGTACGCCCTTACACAGGCTCTAAACCCCTGGTGACATTATCTCCTAGGCCGGCACTTCAAAGTGTATTCTGATCATGAGACACTGAGATGGTTGAAAACGCAGGCCCAAATGACCCCTAAGTTGACCAGGTGGGCCGTGCAGATCGACCAATTTGACTTTGAAATGAAGCCAGTCAAAAGTAAGTATAATCGCCGATGCAATGAGTAGGTGTGCAGACTTCTTTGGCGCGATAGTGACATACCTAGACGCGGGTGCTGACCTGCAGCAGAAAGTTAAGGCCGCATACGCGAAGGATCCCGTCTATAGCAACCTGATCAAGAAAGTACAGATTGCACCTCACGAAGTCCCGGATTACCGAATGGCCGACGGACTGTTGTTTGAGAAGACCGATGTCAACGATAGGCTGTGCTTCGTGAATGAAGAAGAGATTCTTTGTCTGATCTTAGAGGAATGCCACGACACCGAAGGACATTCGGTTGGAGGAAGACGTATGCGACCCTCCTTCGGTCCTACACGTGGCCCGGCATGAAACACGATTGTGTCACATATATCGAAGGCTGCAAAGTCTGTCAGCGGAACAAAGGTTCCACACAGCCTCCCCTAGGACTGCTGAAGCCTTTGCCTAATCCCATCAGGCCCCGAAGAGTCCGTCTTGATCGATTTCATGGACACCAAGGTTAAGAGTAGGAACCTAGGCTACGTCCCGTGCGGCACGGGTAACCCCTCCACCCGGAACCCGCCCAGGATGCCCGGCCTGGCGGCCTGGCGGCCTGCCTGGTCCAACCGCTGGGCGTCCCAGCGCAAAATAGCGGGCGGGCCTTTTTCATTTTTTTCTCCGGCCCTTTGCAAAGAACATGGGCCAGATTACCCCCTGGAGCCAAAAAAAAAATTGGGGCCCAGCAGGCCCCTGTTTTTTTCATGATGAAATCTGTACCATTGATCGCCAAAGGTCAACGACCCTTGTACACCTGGGGTTCGAGTTCGAACTCCGCCCCACAGTTTGAATTCGAACGCTGCGCTGAGGCAGCATCCTGCCGCCCCCCCGCTCACTAGCCCCGGCGCCAAGTGCTCGTCGTCGTCGTCGTCGCTCTCCCCCCCCCCGCGTGTCGTCCTGGGCTGCTCGTCGCTGCTGCGCCTCCCGTTTGTGCCTGCCATCGCCCGAAGGAGAGTCCCCAGAGCCCCCCCACTCCCCCCTTCTCCTCCTCCTTTCTCCCATGTCCTTCTCCTTTCTCCCGTGTCCTCCTACTACTACTACTACTTTCATTGTCTTTCAACTTTAATCGTCCGAGAGTGGGCCACGTGACGTCCTTGAGGCTTGAAGCCTTCAACATCGAAGAGTGGCCACGTGGCGACGGGGCGAATGGTTGCGACGAATGAAGGGGTCGATGATGAGGACATTAGAGAAAGGAGGACGAGAAGGACGTCGAAGAAAGAAGGGGGATAACGAACAAAGCAGCAGGAAGTGCACGAGATGGAGGAGGAGGAGGAGGGAGAAAGGAGGAGGAGGACGACGAAGAAGAATGAAGGAGGAAGAGGAGGAGGAGGAAGAAACTAGGATGAGGACGAAGAAGAGGAAGAATGAATGGAGGAGGATGATTGGGAGGAGGTGGAGAAGTAAGGAAGATGAATCTTTCTTACTCCTTTTTCACCTCCTCCTCGTCGACCTCCTCCACTAATCCTTCGTCTTCTCTGTCCTCATTTTCCTCCTTTCTTCCTCCTCGTAATCCTCCTCCATTCTTCTTCGTTGTCGTTTTGTATTCTCATTTCGTCGTCTTGTCCTTTCATATCGGCAATGTCCATTATTCTTCGTCGCCGCTTTTCTTTATTCGTTTTGTATTCTCATTCCGTTATCTGCAGCCCCAACAACGCACCTTTTCTGTACTTGCCTTGGTTTCTGCAGGCCCTTCTATGCAAGCAGTCCTACAGATCCCCACCCCCACAGCGCAGCATAGCACCACAACCCCCCACCCCCCTTCCAAAACGTCGAACACCAAAAAACAAAAAAAACCAGCAGATTTGGACAGCTCTTCAGAAACGCAAACAAGACCAGCTCCCCGCCCCTCCACCCCCCCCNCTTCGGACCTTTCACCACTTTAGGACCATTCAGGTCTGAAAATCCTGAATGGTCCTGAAATGGTGAAAGCTCCGAAGACCCTGAAAACCACCTGTTTAGGCAGGCCGCATCCTCAAGTGGTGAAGGGTGGTTTTCATGGTCTTCAGACCTTTCACCACTTCAGGACCATTCAGGATTTTCAAACTGCCCAAAACTCTCACTTCAGAATTTTCATTCCTGAATTTTCAGCTACCCAATAACCGCTTGTGCCCTTTCAAAATTCCTTCTTCTGCGCAAATTTGTTTTCGGTAAAATCCGAAATCACACGTTCTGAAAAAAAAATTCTTTGAAATTCTTTGAAATTCGTTTTTGAACCCGCCCGGACGACCGACTGGGCGACCCACCCGGTCTAACCACCGGGCGTCCCAACGTAAAATAGCAGACGGGCCTTTTTCTTCTTTTTTTTCGCCCCTTTGCCAAGAATATGGGCGAGATTACCTCATGGCGCGAAAAAAAAAAATTGGGGCCCAGCAGGCCCCTGTTTTTCTGGGGATGAAATCTGCGCCGTCGATCGCTGAAGATCAACGGTCCTCGTTCACCCGGGGTTCGAATTTGAACTCCACCCCACAGTTTGAATTCGACCGCTGCGCTGAGGCAGCATCCCACAGCCCCCCCCTCTCGCTAGCCCCGCGCCAAGTGCTCCTCGTCGTCGTCGTGGCTGGCCCCCCCCGCGTGTCGCCCTCCACTGCTCGTTGTTGTTGCGCCTCCCGTTTGTGTCTGCCATCACCTGAAGATTGGAGGAGGACGATGAGGAGGAGGAGGAGGATGGAGAAGATTGGAGGAGGAGGACGAAGAAGATTGGAGGAGGAGGGCGATGAGGAGGAGGAGGAGGACGAAGAAGATTGGAGGAGGAAGACGACGAGGACGGAGAAGATTGGAGGAGGAAGACGAACAAAGGAGCAGGTGGAGAAAAGGTAAGGAACAAGAATCTTTCTTTTTTCTTTACCACCTCCTCGTCGTCCTCCTCCTCCTCCTATCCTCCTTCCTCTTCTTAACCGTCCTTCTCCTCCTTTCATCCATCCTCTTCTTCGTTGTTCTTCTCCTCCTTTCTTCTTCGTCCTCCTCCTCTCTCCCTCCCCCTTTCTTCTTCGTCGATGTTTTCTCTTCTTATTCTCGTCCTTGTCTTCCTCATTTTCGAACTTTGTTCGTTGCTTTTTTTTTTTTTTCCTAGCAT